TCTTAGTAACCATAGATTGCTTAAGGTGATGAAGCGAATTTTGAGTAAAAGTGTTGGGTATACGCTTTACTAACCAGGTTTTATGTCAGTTGGGGATGCTGAGACCCAGACGAGAACGAAACTACCGTCACCCTAATTAAGAATATTTTTTTGAGTCAATGCTTGGCAAAATGCATTGGTATCATGAGGCTTACTCATCTTAACATGAGACAATTCATTAGTAGTCCTTAAACAACTTAAGCGATCTAGGATATTCCATACGAATACAAATATATAATTTGACTGTCTAAGAGTAGCTTACGTAGTTGTTGGGGGTGCCAGCCTCGGATAAATAACCTTGAACATAGCTCGTCTTCTGGGTCAGTCAGGCTAGAGCTGACCTCTGTTTCCATAAGAATTGATCTATATACATCCATCAACCTATCTATCTATCTATCTATATATATATATATTAGATCAGATTCATATAGGCTATATTCAAGAGTGAACAAAGCTCACGAAGCCAACAATATAAATGAAGCAAGGTGAAGCATGAATAGATGGACATATACACGGAAATAAAAGGAGAAACAAAAAGTCCTTATTTGTTTCTTATAGTAGTGTATACATATAGTATACCTGTCCATGAACACCTGTGAGTAAATGCGTTGGCAAGGCCCCACTGTTGGCCAGCATGGCAGCCGAACTGGCACGGTCTTCGTGCGAAATGCCTAAGGGTGCATCCAACCGCAATGAACGCAAAATCTGACCAGTAGATGAGGCCGAAGTGGCAGAGACACATGAGGTAGTCATGGAGGCAGGGGCGGCCATAGAGATCAGCTGATCAGTGCTAGTCATTGATGAAGGAGAGTTAGTCTGAACCAAGGCCCCAGCAGTTGAGGTCGACATCATGGAGTTAGCCACTTCGGTCACTTGACCTCCGCCAAGAAGATTTAAACTAAGGTCGACACCTCCAGTCTTGTTCGCGAATGCCTTACTTGTGGCAGCCTTATCAGATGAGTGTTCAGAAGGGCACAGCGCGGCGCCAAGCGAGGAGGGCGTCAAAGTTGATGGGTTGCTGGCGCTCCGAGATAGGTCTAATCCAAATGGTGGGGATTGAATAGAGAAACGGTGTAATGAAAGCAGGATTTTGATCGGTATTAAGATTTTTAGGCCCAGAATTAGGACTATTAAGGAATGTTAGCACCAGCATTAGAACAATGATATGAAGAAAACTGCGATGCTGAAAAATGAGAAGCATATCAAGATTAACGAGATCAAATTATAACTAGATTGATTCTTGGTCAAACTCTGACCCTAAGGGTTGCGAATTATAGCCCTGAATTAAGAATTGAGATTGGCTCAACTTCTTCACTTATACCCCATTCTAAACAAGAAATGAGATGCTTAATATTTCCATTTTCGAACTAAAGGTTATGTACTAGTTCCAATCGCTTTTGCAAATTAAAGGCAATGAAAATAAGCTCAAAAAGTGATCGGTAAACGTAAGACTGAGTG